AATCTGGGAACTGCCCCGCGTTCCGCCTTTTTCCCGTGGAACGGAGATTCCTCCTTTTCTGGAGTTTATCCCAAAAACACCCAAATGTCCTCCTGGGAATGCCGGCGGTGAGGTCTGGAGCCTCCTGCCCTGGAGGTGTCCAGGGAATTCCTGGATGTGGCACCCAGGTGGGGACTGGGAACAGCTTGGACTCGCTGACCTTGGAGGGCTTTTCCGACCTCAGGGATTCCGGAATTCCATTTTCCAAGCGCTGCTCTCCCTTCTCCGGATTTTTCACCCTGGTACAGGTGGATTAGGCCTAAGGTCCAGTTAGCCTCACTAAAAGGATAAATAATTAAAAATATTTCTATTTATAGATATAAATATAAAAATATATATAATAAATATATTAATAATATATAAAACAATAATAGTTAAAAAATATAAATATATAGTTATTTATATATAATAAATATATTAATATATAGTTATTTATATATAATAAATATATTAATATTATTTATTATATTTATGTATTAAATTATATACATAGTTATTTATATAGATGATAAATGTATTAATATTATATATTTATGTATTAAATTATATATTATTTTAAAGTTATGTATTTAATTATTATATAAAATTATATATTATAATTAAATATCTATACATAAACATTATATATATTATAAAAATAAAATATATTTAAATATAAATATATTTAAATATAAATATATAAATATATAAATATATAAATATATACATATATACATATATTAATATATACATATATAAATGTATAAATATATTTATATATAAATATATAAATATATAGATATATAAATATAAATATATAAATATATAAATATATAAATATATAAACATATAGGTATATTATAAAAATATATCAAAATATCAAAATATAAATATATTATATAAATACAAATATATTTAAACATATAAACATATATAAAATAAAAATATAAAGAGTTAAAATATAATGATATATAGAGATAAAATAATATTTTTAATAAAATACGTAATAATATAAATATTATGATAACATAATAATAGAAACACCATAACAAAATATACAGAAATATAAACAAATAATCTAAAATAAAAACAATACATTATAGATATTATATAACAATTCCTCATTCCAAGTATAAACCAATAATTCCTCATTCCAAGTTGCTTTTCCAGGGACAGCCCCGCCAGGGATTTAGGGATTTGATCCTGGAATAAATAAGTTGGGGCTGAACTTATTTTTAAATTCAATTTTTTTTTAACTGGAGGCAGCTCTATTTATTTATTTGTGCTCTGGGAGGGGAATTTTATGGGTAAACAGAATCTTTATTAATATTTTCTTTGTTAACTCATTGATGTTGCTAAAGAGCTTTGAAGATGAAAGCGCCGCGCGCAATAAATATTAACGTTATCCCAACGTTGCCAGCATTCCAGCTCCAACGTTTCTCATCCAAGAATCTCCCAGCGCTTTTCCAAATGTGAATTCATTTCCTCTCGGTCCGGGGAGGCACCTTTTATCATCAGCATCCTCATTTCCCCGGGGAGGCGTCCTCGGAGCGTTTCATCCCGCCGATTCGGGAAAAAACTGGAGCTGTTTTTGGGATTGATCCAACAATTCCCGCCTCCCGTTTTCCCAGCTTTGCTGCCCGACCACATTCCCGGCCTGGGAGTGGGGTGTGACACTCGGCTCCTTTATTGGTGGCGCTTAAAAAAATCCAGACAACCTTCATGAACCCCACCCAGGGCAGGGGAGGAAAGGAAACTTCCAAATCAGGATGGTCCCGGCCGGGAATCCAGGAATTTTCAGGATTTTGGATGTGCAGGATGAAATCTGGACCAGATGTTGAGTCAGAATCTTGGAATTTTTATATAAAATATGATTAAAAGGGAAATATTTCCTGGAACGCAGCAGAGGTGAAGGTCTGAGCTGAAGGAAAGGAAACTCTTCCAAATCAGGATGATCCCAGCCAGGAATCCATGAATTTTCAGGATTTTGGATATGCAGGATGAAATTTTGATGTGATGTTGAGTCAGAATCTCATAATTCTTATTTAAAATACGATTAAAATGGAAATATTTTCTCAAATATTCTTCTTCCTTCTCGTGCTGCATCCGCAGGTGAAGATCTGAGCTGAAGGAAATGAAACTCTTCCAAATCAGGACGATCCCAGCCAGAAATCCACCGATTCTTGGGGTTTTTGATGTGCAGGCAGAAATCTTGACAGGATGTTGAGTCAGAATCTTGGAATTTTTATTTAAAACACGATTAAAATGGAAATATTTCCTGGAATGAAGCAGAGGTGAAGTTCACAACTTCTCCCAAAAGTCCCCTCCCCAGTCCAGAGGGGAGTGAGCGTCGAGCCGAAACGAAAAGAGGATTTGGAGCCAGCGTGACGTGACGGCAGCTTGGAACAACGAGGAGTTCCAAAATAGCGCTATTGACTGCTGGAAAAACAACATCCATATAATTTGCAGGTAATTACTGCGGTGTAATTAGCTGGGTTGTTTCCACATGAGCCATCTGAAATGAACCCTGGATTTGCAGCGTTCCTGTGACTCAGGGGATGATGGAAAAAGAGGAATTGGGAGAAATTTGGGGTTTTTTCCCTAGCTGAGCCCGTCTCGGGGCTTTATCCGGGGTTTATCCTGGTTTTTAGGCAAAAAAACTGGGAATTTGGAGCAAAATCTACTCCATGGGAATTCCATGTGTGGGCTGTAATGGGAATTATAGAACAGGGAAGAGGTTCAGATTGGAGCAGATTTTTCTAGATCATTCTCTGTGAAAAATTATTATATATATCATATTTAATATACTCTAATCTAATATATACTATTATATACTATAATATACTCTAATATACTATACTATAATATAATATGATAATATAATATGATAATACAAAATATAATATAATGTAATGTAATGTAATACAATATAATACAATATAATACAATACAATACAATACAATACAATATAATATAATATAATATAATATAATATAATATAATATAATATAATATAATATAATATAATATAATATATATATGAAACTCTGGGTTTGTTGAGGCTGGAAGTCTGGGGAGTGCAATTAAAATACAAAATTAATCATCACCTCTGTGATGATGTTTTGGGAAAAAATATCCAAAATAATTCATTTTATTTATTTCATAAAATAATTTTATAACATATTATTTATTTATTTATTTATTTATTTATTTATAACTATTATTTATTTATTTATTATTTAATATATAACATTAGCATTATTATTTATTCATTATTATAATATATTCTATATTATTATAATAAATAAAAATAATAAATAATATTTATTATTTGTAGTAATAAATAATAAACAATTATTCATTATTATTTATTAATCTTTATTATTTCTTTATTACTTTTATTTATTATTCTTTATTTTTTCTTTATATTTATTATTTGTTTTATAATTTATTTTATTTATTTTATTATAATGTTATATATTATATTATTTCTATTTCTATTTCTACTTATATTCCTATTTCTATTTCTACTTCTATTTCTATTTCTACTTCTATTTCTATTTCTATTTCTATTATTTCTATTTCTATTTCTACTTATATTTATATTTTAGTTATATTTATATTTATATTAGTATTTATTTTTATATTTATATTTATATAATTTATAATATTTATAACATTTACAATATTTATATTATTTATAATATTTATATAATTTATAATATTTATAATATTTATAATATTTATATTATTTATAATGTTTCTAATATTTATTATAGTTATAATATTTATTATATTTATATTATAATATTATAATATTTATTTAATTTAACCACACCTTTCTATCATTTTTCTGCTCCATGTTTGAAGCTTTTTGGCCAATCTGAAGCTTCTGGAGGAGCTGATATTTTATCTTTTGCCTGGCTTTGAATTCCTCAGCTCCTCAGGACCTGCCCTGGTTGTTTTTTACTCTTCCTCCTTGTGCTGCGTCCACAAATGATGAAAATTGGTGCTAATGACCAAAAAAAACCCCCAAAAAAATCCCAATGGTGATTCATGGAAATGGAATTTTGTTGACAAAAAGAAAAGTGGATTTAACTCAGCCAAAGGAAATGCTTTTCCAACTGGGGAGGAATATCTGAGGAACGACCATTTCTTCTCCGAGACAGAACTGTCCCAGCTTGAATTCACAAAATAAACGGAATAATTCAAATGAGAGCCTGGAGAAAAGCGACCAGATCCACCCAAAACGGGCGCTTTTGCCAGGGAAAAGACCCAAAAGTGGATTTTGGGTGGGTGAAATGAAGGTGAGGAGGGCAGGACACGCTGTCCCTTCCCGAGGGGACACAGCTCGGCCCAGGGATTCCAGAATCCTGGAATGGGTGGGCTTGGAAAGCCCCTCAAAGCTCCTCCCGTCCCCCACGTCACCCCAGGTGTCCCCAAACCCCGTCCAGGTGTCCCCACACCCCGTCCAGGTGTCCCCAAACCCCGTCCAGGTATCCCCAAACCCCGTCCAGGTGTCCCCACACCCCGTCCAGGTGTCCCCAAACCCTGTCCAGGTGTCCCTCACCCTGTCCCTGATGTCCCTAGGTGTCCCCAAAAACCCTGTCAAGGTGTCCCTTAGAACCCCCCCAAGCCCATTCCCAATGGCCCCAGGTGTCCCCAAACCCCGTCCAGGTGTCCCCAAACCCTGTCCAGGTGTCCCTTACATGGTCCCTGATGTCCCCAGGTGTCCCCAAACCCCGTCCAGGTGTCCCTTACATGGTCCCTGATGTCCCCAGGTGTCCCCAAACCCTGTCCAGGTGTCCCTCACCCTGTCCCTGATGTGCCCAGGTGTCCCCAAACCCTGTCCAGGTGTCCCCAAACCTGTCCCTGATGTCCCCAGGTGTCCCCAGGGCTGGTTTTGATAGTCCCAGATGTCCCCAGCTGTCCCCAGTCTTGGTCTTGGTGTCCCTTAGACCCCCTCAATCCCGTCCCCAATGTCCCCAGGTGTCCCCAACTCTGCTCCCGGTGTCCCTAAGCCTGGCCCCGATGTCTCTCAGTGTCCGCAGCCCTGCTCTTGACACCACGTGTCCACAATCCTGCTCCTGGTGTCTCTTGGTGTCTCCAACCCTGTCCCAAACATCCTCAGGTGTCCCCAAACCCTGTCCAGGTGTCCCTTACATGGTCCATGATGTCCCCAGGTGTCCCCAAACCCCGTCCAGGTGTCCCCAACCCTGTCCAGGTGTCCCTCACCCTGTCCAGGTGTCCCCAAACCCTGTCCCTGATGTCCCCAGGTGTCCCCCCACTCACTCGCATGCAGGTGGCCCAGACCAGTACAGCCATGGAAGGGGACTGGGGCATACTGGGGACACCGGGGGACACTGGGGGACACCGGGGGATACTGGGGGACACTGGTGGACACTGGGGGACACTGGGGGACACTGGGGGACACTGGGGGACACTGGGAGCCCCTCCCAGCCCCATCTCATCCCGGGAATGCAAATCCTGGGAAAGAAAGGGCTGATTGTTGGGGCCACAGCCATTGTCCTGCAGCTGCAGGGCTCTGGGGAGCGACAGGGCCGGGAATTCTGACATTCCAGGATGGGAATTCTGACATTCCAGGATGGAATTCTGACATTCCAGGATGGAATTCTGACATTCCAGGCTGGGAATTCTGACATTCCAGGATGGGAATTCTGACATTCCAGGATGGAATTCTGTCATTCCAGGCTGGGAATTCTGACATTCCAGGATGGGAATTCTGACATTCCAGGATGGAATTCTGACATTCCAGGATGGGAATTCTGACATTCCAGGATGGAATTCTGACATTCCAGGCTGGGAATTCTGACATTCCAGGATGGAATTCTGACATTCCAGGATGGGAATTCTGACATTCCAGGATGGAATTCTGACATTCCAGGCTGGGAATTCTGACATTCCAGGATGGAATTCTGACATTCCAGGATGGGAATTCTGACATTCCAGGATGGAATTCTGACATTCCAGGCTGGGAATTCTGACATTCCAGGATGGAATTCTGACATTCCAGGATGGGAATCTGGGCTTGGAATTTTGTCATTTCCACAGCACAGGCAGGAAAGTTTATTTTCTAAGCAGCAGCCCTCGTTTGGGCTCGGTTTGGGAGAGAATGGGAACTTTAATATCAGTAATCTAATTAATAATAATAATAATAATAATAATAATAATAATAATATCAACAACAATAATATCTGATATGATAATATGATATAATAATCTGATATTATAATAATATGATATAATAATATGATAATAAAGATATGATATAATTATAATAATATATTATATAATAATCTTATATAATAATCTGATATTATAATAATAATCTGATATAATAATAAAAATATGATATAATAATAAAAATCTGATGTAGCAATAATAATATGATACAATAATAAAAATATGATATAACAATAATAATATGATACAATAATAAAAATCTCATATAACAATAAATCTGATACAACAATAAAACTGATATAACAATAAATCTGATATAATAATAAAACTGATAACAATAAAACGGATACAATAATAAAACTGATACAATAATAAATCTGATACAGTTTGATCTGATATTGCTCTTGGATGTGGATTTCAGGGGAGATGTTTGTGCCAGCCACTCCACATCAACTTCCTGCTCAGCACACGTTGTTATAAACTCAAAATAAATAAGATTTATTTTATTAGTTCCTGGCTCTTCCATCGTCTTCTCGTGCAGCCAAGTAATTTTGACTGAAATATTCCTCTTTTTGTCCCGCAGCAAAGGGTGTTTCACACATTTCACACCCACAACAACCTCAGCAATAAAGGGATTTTAACAGCTGGGACGTGTTTTCTATCAAGAAAAGTCCATCATTAAATTCAGGCTCAGAAATTCCCTCACGTTACTTTTAAGCAAAGAGTAAATTCGGATTATTTGACAAAGAGGGGAAATTCTTGGATACTCAGATTAATGAAAACAACATGTTCACAGAAAAAAAACCACATATCTGCTTTAAAAATATTATTGTGTCTGAACACGGCTTTGAGCATGCGAGTTATGTGACAGGATGCATTTTTTGGGGAAGTTACAGAGGAGGAAAATAAAAGAGATGGGGGTAGGAGGCAGATTTTCACCTTCAGATCCTCAGATTCTTTTACTGCGATACGGCCAAAAGGGGGAAACGTGACTCTGGAAAATGGGGAATTGAAAAATATTGGGATTTTGGAGAGTTGAGCTTTCATTTTTTCCTCCCCACAGAGGTTAAAAATCCCCCCAAAAAATAAATATTGTAACTCAGATGCAGCAGAGCTGGAGGATGGGATTGGGGCTGTTCTCCCCAGCTCCAGTTGCATCCCAATCTTTTCTTTTTGGGAAGGGAGAGAGAATCCTGACAGATCTGAGAGTCACTGCCACAGCTGGAGGCACTGAGAGCACCTCTGTGTGTCGACAGAAGATTTTTTTTGGCAAGGAATCATCATCTGAGCCTCGGGAGCAGAGAGGAACGAGATTTCACTACATGTAAATAATAGCCTAAAAATAGAAAGGCAGATTGTTTTTCTCATTAAGTTCCTTCTCCATCCTCTGGAGCGCTGGGAAGGGAGGGACTATCAAAAAAGGCCCGAAGTGAAAAAAAAATATGAAGAGCCTGGGTGAGGTTTGTCTGTAAAATAAAAACAACAAAAGCAACACTGGCAGGACCATTTTAAACCTGATTTTCTGGATCCTGTTCCTTTAGTTTGCTTCTTTATTTTAATGCAGCCGAAGGCATTCTCGGGCTGCTTTATTTAAAGCGAGTTTGGAGAGGGGACGCTGTGGTTTGTGGCCACGTGTCAAGTTTGATAGTGCTATGCCATGATTTAGCAAAAACACTCGAAGCACATGTCCACATCCCACTGAATTTGGGAGGAAGTGAAGAAGCAGAGGAAAAGCTGTTTTTGCTGTGCAGCAGTCTCATTCAGGAGGGGAGGAAAAAAAAAAAAAAACCCCATAAAATAATTGAAATAAATCAAGGGTTTATCTTTTAATCGAGGATTTATCAATTATAGATCTTCCTGGCCAAATTCCTTCGGCTTGACGTGAACTCATGGATCGTGTCGGATCAGGATTCCACGGATTTAATAATTCCAAACGGTTTTCCACTGGGCTGGCTCAGACCACTGAAATAGAAGGGCTAATTATGGGAGCTGTGGGCGTGCTGGAGTCATCTGACTTTGATTTTTTTTAGCCATCCCAGCAGCCTGCCCCCTCCCCAAAGCGGAGAGAAGCCTTCATCACACGCAGGATTATGGGGGCGTTGCTCATCATCCTCCTGGAACCGCTGCTCGTTTTCCTGAGCGCTTGGGGTGACGCTCCGGGTGCGCCACAACTCCGGGAGAACCGCTGGGAGAAAGAACCTCTGGGAAACGGGACGGAGGGATGGCCCCGAGATGGAATTGGGGCGTCAGCGAGGAGTTCCCTGGATTTTCTGGCTGTTTGGGGGATATTTCTGGGTGAAATGGTTGGAAATGCAGTGTTTGGGAAGAGAGATGAGTTGTTTGATTTGCTCAGCATAGCAGGACTTCAGATATCTCCTTCCCATAAACAAGGTGCCATCCAAAATCCGTTTATTTATGTATGTTCCTTTTCTAGGTGAAGGATTTGTGACCTGTCCACCTTGGTCAAAATCCACTCAAATCAAAATCCACACAAATCAAAATCCATACAATTTTTGTCCTGGACTGATGGAATGCGACACATCCTGATCCAATTCCACTGCCATCCCTACTTACTAGGACTTGTTTTCTTCAGGACTTCCCATAAATATTCTTAACAATAACCACATTTAACACCTCTTTCCCATTCTTCCCTTAACACAAACTAGTGAATTTTAAATCCTGGGTAACCCTCTTGGTCAAACTTTATAAAATTTAATTCTGTAATTACCACTCATGGTTATCTTACCACAGGTCCCCTGCGTGGAACCGAGCACGACTTGTTTTAATCTGCAGACTTGAGACATTAAAGCTTTATTTTGTCTTTCAATGACCATAACCTAAGAGCTTTCTGAATGTAGGATGATGGATTTTATGGCAGCTATGGAAATTGTAGGAAATTTTGTCTTCTTTGTTCAGTTCTGTGCATTAAGGTGAAGGCCAAGGAGAGGAATTGTCATTGTGATCCGTATTTATAGAATAACACACAGGTAGAAAGAAGCCGAATCGAGTTATAGTGACTTAAATACTAACATTCAACCCACCCAAATTCACAATTGATGCCATCATCTTGCCAGGCAGAATTTTGGTAGATGTTTTCCCCTCTGCGCTGTCTGGCTTGCTGTTGGAAGAACACAAATTTTACTCAAAATTCACATGGAATGGGCATATTTGGATCTCAGCTCTCTGCTCTTTGGGACTCCTACAACACCTGTATTGCTGTTCCTAGGGAAAAGGAAAACCCGGGCAAGCTCACGATGATTCCCAAACTTCTCCTCAGTAGCCTAGGGAAATAAAACTTGTAATTCCCCGAAATAAAACTCATCGCTGCCCGAAATGAAACTCATCATCTCCCGCTTGCTGCAGACCAGGAGCCGGAGGTTATGCCAGCGCCCGCTGAGGGACCCCGGCCCCATCCCGTTCCACCCCTAAAGGTCTCAAACCCGTGGATTAAGCAGCAGGAAGCGGAGCTACAAAATCCGACTTTAATCAACTCATTTATTACTGCAGCTTCGCGCAACCACCGCTTCCCTCGCGATGCGGAGGCTGCCCGCACGGCTGAGGGGAGCCGGGGCGCCCGGAGGGACCCGCACCCCTCACGGGGCCGGCGGCGCCGCGGGGGCCGCGCCGCGCAGGGCCGAACTTCCCGAGCGGTTCGGCGGCCACACGGCGTTCCCGGGGCGGCGGGGGAAGCGCAGCGAGAGCTCGGCTCCCCTCAGACCAGGGCTGGGAGCGGCGGGGACCCCCCGCCCGAGGAGGCACAAAATGGCGCCGCGATTCAAACGCTGCGCGCTGCGGGCGGGCGGGGCGGCGGGGGGGGCGGTGTCCCGGCGGGGTTCACTGCGCCTGCGCGCAGAGTCGCAAGATGGCGGACAGTGCGGAACTAAAGGTAAAGCGCAGCTCCGGGTCCCCCCGCGGCGCCGCCGGGGCCGCGGCCGAGAGCGGCCCGCGGCGAGACGAGCCCCGCTGGAGCGGCCCGCGGCGGAGCGCCGCCGGCAGCGGGGGCTGAGGGGCGGGGTGGGTGGGGAGCGGAGCGCAGAGCTGCCTCCCCTCTGGCCGCCCCCCCTCGCCGGCCGCGCTCCGCCGGGCGGCCCCGCCGGCGGCCGGGGCAGCGCGGGCGGCTCCGCTCCGCGGCCGCCGGCTCGGGCCGAGCCTCCCGCGGGCTGAGGGCGGCGGCCGGGGGCAGCCCCCGCGGGGGGCGGCGCGGGAGCTGCCGGGGCGGGGGACGGAGCCGCGGCGCCCCGCGAAGTTTGCAGGGGAGTCCGGCGGGAGCGACCCCCGGCAGCGGCGGTGGCCGCGGTGACAGCGGGGGGAGCGCGGCGGGGAGGCCGGCTCGCCGCCCCTCCGGTAAATAAAAGAACGTCACAGGCAGATGTGGAGGAGTTCCGCGGTGTTGAGCTGGCGGCGGTCCCTGTCATCCTGCGAAACACATGGAAAAGGGGCGCTCCGAGCCACCCCGCAGCCCGGCCGGCGCTCCCCGGGCCGGGGTCGCTGCGTTTGGGGCGTTTTGGGGGGGATTTTGGGGCGGGGGAGGGAATTTTTTTGGGGCGTTTTGGGCTCTCAGCCGAGATGGTGGAGGGGGGGCAGGAGCAGCTCTGCCGAACGCGGAACTTTGGGTTTCCTAAGGCGTAAAAGAAACAGCAATTTTGAGGAACAGCAGTCGTGGGATAGAGGGTGGGAGGCATCCGCCCAAAAATACAAGGAAAAGACCCCTCCCCGAAACTTGGTGTGGGTGCAGGCTGTGCCCTGCACACCCTGCGAGGTGTTCAGAGTTTCAGAGTTTGCTCGCAGTTGTCACAGGGTCGGTGTTCACCAGGAGGGCTCCTGCCTCCTCCTTTAAAGCGAGCGGCACAAATCAGGTGGATATTAAATGTGTAACATAAACTGCGGAATACGTCGAGTATGACTAAGGAGATATTTTGTCTTTCCCTTGAGGTTTGGTAGA